CTCAGGATGTCGGCTTTCGAATAACATCCTTCTGACTGCATGCATAAACCAATTTCTGTAAAAATTGACTACTTATGTAGCATGCGTTTTTCTCATTGATTTTCCATGTCCTAAATGTCCAATTGTATATCATGGAAAAAGTGCATAAAATAGCCATTCTTTTGCGCCTTCGGTAGAAAATTACATCTTCTTCCAAACATATAGTTGAAGGCAGGACATAATTTGGTTTTCAAAAGTTACTAATTGTGAGACTTTTAAAGACCGTGAAATGGCCGATCATAAATCGTCATGTCTCTGCATTTACCAATGGGGTTTGTAAAGTTAACAATATGGATAAAATCCACTGCTAAATTTTATGAACCCTATATAGTCCCCACTAGTACCGTAGAGAAATGTGTGGTTTCCCGTACGCGAAAAATATACGGCTTGTAGTTCGGAAACCCTGAATCCAAGTGCAATGGTAGAGCGGAGACAAAGTGATTCGGGAATTAAGGAGGTTTTCGTAAACCGAATTATACCCCTTTTCGGGCATAAGATTGGAATAAGACGTAATTTTCAACCGAAAGGGCAAATGAATGGCTATTTTATGCATTTTTTCCATAATATATCATTGTACTTTAAGGACATCGAAAATAAATAGGAGGATGAATGCTAATTAAATAGTCATTTTTCAGAGAACAAGTTTCGCATGCAGTCGGAGAAGAATTCTTTCGAAAGTTGGCATCCTGAGATAACTGAAACATTATTGAATTATGCTGCATGGCGATAAGTTTTACAACCCTACTTAATCAATCTTTTCGAAACGAAAATGCATTTCGGAATTTAGGTTGATATTTCATGAGTTAGCCCCCCTACTCTATGTGGTCCAAGGCGCTTGCCCCGCCCTCCCTTGTGTGGAAGCTTGGGGAATAGATCGTGTGTCTCACGCGCGGACGGACTGTTTTAGCCCTGTTAGTCACTGCGTCCAATCTTGCCATCAACTGATCCGGCCAGGAAGAGAGAATGAGGCCGACCCTGGGGACCTCATCACTGCGAGACACCAGCGCATCTACCTAGAGAAAGCTCTCCTTCAGTGCATTGTGTCAAAACTTGGGCATCTGCCAGCAGTCGCGCGAGGAACGCTGGGGAGACATTGACGAGTCGGACCCCTACAGTTGTGCCATACAGTGACGGAATGTCTGGGATTTTGCCCACAACATGCGTCCTCACTATTATGTATCGTACAAAATGTGTATTCCACTGACTGTCCGTTGACAAATGAAGAATATTACGCGGTTATCCAACTGAAGTTGATGAATTTCAGACGAAATACGGGTGCCCAATTTCGTAGTTAGCCTATGTAGCTTCACTCTGAAGGATTTACTCTAAGTCAACATGCCAGTTTCTGGTGGGTGTAAAAAGCTGTAAAAAAACCAAGTCAAATTAGAAAGCATTTTCCGCGAGGTGTGTATTGGATGCCACGCCGGCCGCCTAACCAGATGAATTCTTCGACCACGCCTGAAAATTCGTCGACATACGCAGCCTGCTGACCAAAAGCATCGTGCGAATGTATCCAGGGCCGTGAGGAGCACCTGATGCGAACAGAAGCAAGGTTATTTGTTTCGGCATCGCGTTTTGGACGTAGACATTGCGAGGAGTAATTTCGTCTGCAAAGCTGATGAACGCGCTTTCGGTTTCGTACAGGAGGCCATCATCAGACTGTGAGAATGCGGCGTCAGATAAGCAGTTTTCGTATTGAAGCCATGAAGGGGGGAGGATAAGAGTGCAGGGGGGGGGGAGGCGTGGCTGCTTGCCTCCTTGGCTGGGAATTGGGTCTCGCCTCTTGGCCGTAGGAGCTGAGCGCGTGATGGCAGCGACATGTCTGTTGATGGAGTTGGTGTCAGACACCCAGACCTCCAGCAGTTCTCGCTCCGTCTCATTACTGGCCCGCGCCATTATCCGGGTGCTCGCGAAGTTAAATCCGTGGCCTTCGTTCAGGGTGTGAGTAGCGACCCGAAACAACCGATCGCCTCTCCGGACTGCCCGTTTGCGCTCCGTTCTTCGCGAGTTAAGCCGCCGTCCCGTCTGCCCTGTGTAGTGACGAGGGCGGTCCCGGCATGGGATCTGATAGACCACACCCGATTGTTTTCCTGCGTCTGGTCGGTCCTTCATTTGCATGAATTTGTTGCGCATGGTCGCTGTCGGATGGTGAGTGATACCCTCGCCGAGCTCTCCAGCGATAAGTTCCGTTGCTTCGGACACATTCTTCATATGAGGTAGAGGGTGCCAGAGTTTTGGCAGCTCTCCTCCGTTAACGCGTCGTGGATGAGTGCGGAGGCAGCGGCTGACGAAGCTGTTTGCGCACCCATTCCTTGCCGGCTGGCCCTTGAGACTCGCATATCTGCTCCCATAATTCCGTCTTGCCGTGGTACTCATTGTACAAACCGTCTCCGTAGGACGCCCGCGCCAGTACACAGACTGAACTATGCAGACAGTATATTTGAACACAAACTGACATTGAGAAAACACGCACAGCAATCGGTCTAATTCTCAAGTCCATTTTATTGCCATTAGTCGATGGGCTTCTCTGAAACAAGTAGCATCCCCAACTACTCTGATGTCGTTCTAAAGTCCGCAGAATCCTGATTTTAGAATTACAAAAACTCCCGTGCCATTAACCATGGGATTAGTTGGCAAGCATACGTTTACTTTTGCTAATTCCTCGTCAGCATAGGGGAATGGGATCAAGTAAAATGTCAGTGGCTAGGGAAATCTATTAACGTTCGTCATAGAACACTGGTGGGCCGTGGGAATGTAAAGCGGGGGGTTGTTTTGGTCTTACGAGTTGGCGCCTATCCAAAAGAATACGAGAACATATCCCGGCATGTCTGGGAAAAGACGGAACTAGAAGCAAAAACGGAACCATTCTTGCACATCTTTTTGATTCTGGGTATCGTATGGAGCCGGCGAAATTTTACTTGTGACTTGTTAGGTCCCATCGAGTAACTCTAAGCTATTATGTCGGCGTCTGTTACCAACGCCAGAAGCAACCGCTATCAGACTACGAAAGCCGGTCTTACGCTGGGTTGGATGCTGGTGTGACGATTGCTCGGTAAATTGGCTAGCTGTCACTGGGATTATTATCCGCCGTGTCATCCCCCCAGAATATGGTAACGGGAGGTCATTGCGCTTGTTGATGGATAGCGAGCCCGAGAAGCATGACTTGGGCAGCTCGCGGGTCACGCGGTTGTCACTCCTTGCGAGGATTTCGGCCTCTTGAAATTTTAAAATGTAGTCGGGTCCCGTCGAATGAGTCGCCATCTGAGAGTTAGCGTCTCCCCCCCCCCTTACTGCTGCAGCGTGCTCAACAATTCGTGTGCGGAGCAACCCCCCCCCCCAGTTTCTCCGACATAGTTCCTTTGTCCGCAACTGCACCAGATCCGCAAATACTACCGGAAGAGATGAGCACACGATAAAACTGAAAAGGTTTCACTGTTTTTACTGTTTTTCCGATCACATTTGTTTTTATATTGAAATTGCTCGTCATATTTCATGCCACCTCTTGGAATTTCGCGGCAACATGGTCTCAAACATCTGGAAACAGGATTATTGATAAACTTCAAAGTGCAACCTTAAATGTGCTAGTCGTAGAGAACCAACAAAAAGGGACTGTGCAATAGGTTCCTCAGCAGGCATTTGGGTTTGGTCAATTTACCTAATCAGAAAACAATTACAGTGAGTAACCGATCTTTTGAAATGTCGGCAGAAATTCTGAAATGCGTTTTCGATCAGGAAGGACTACTTTAGTGATTTTGTAATACAGATTATCATGCGGCACAGTCCTATAATGTTTCAGACTCGCCAGGATGTCGACATCTGAATGCACTTTTGTTTGACCTCCTGCACAAACCGCACGCCGTAAAAATGACTACTTAATTAGCATGCATTTCTCACAATTATCGTTGACAGTTTTATAAATACAAATATATTTTATAGAAAACAGGCACCAAAATACGCCTTATTTTACTCGTTTCGTGGATAATCACGTTGTCTTCAAATGTTCTGCCTTAAGGGGGAGGGGTATATTCAGGCTTTAAAGATTTTTTAATTATGACATTTTTAAGACCGTGCAATGTCCACTCATACAGCGTCGTTCGCCAATGCACACTGCAATGCGTAAATTGCAAAATTGTGTAGTCTCTATGTGGAACCTTTCTTAAGGCAAAGAGGAATATATGATTTTCCTTACGCGGAAAGTATGCACCTCGTAAACTGGAATTGCTAAACGCTAATGCAACGGCTGATGAGGACCAATTTTATTCCTTTAAATTATTCAAAACCTAAATATACCATTTCTTTATGTATAAAATGTGAAGATAACGCGATTCTCTACGAAACGAGTAAAATAACGCGTATGTTGGTGCATGTTTTCTATAGAATATGTTTGTATTTATAAGACCATCGGAAATCAGTGTGAGAAATGCATTCTAATTAAGTAGTTCACCTCATTGCTTGTCAGCATTTATTCTCTCTACAAATGTCTCTCTCCAAATTATGACTAAGTGAATCCAGGGGTTGGCAAAAGTATGCATGAAATTGCTTACTTCGCTGACATCATTTGCCTTATCTGACGAGAGTCTTTCGATTACAGCGATCAAGGAACTGCAGAAAGGCGTTTTGTGGATTAAAATATGCAGGCTTACTATCGCAGTATTTGGTTTAGGAAATGCTACACTCATGTGTGAATCCCAACCCTGTGCAAACGTTACATAGATGTGAGGGGGCGTGGACCCCTAGGAAGTGTCATTAAGTATTTACAGTCCCCTAAAGGGGCGGGGGTGGGCCAGCATTCGACAAGGACAAATTTGGCTGTGTAACAAATGACCAAGTTGACCTCACCTCAACGCTAAAGTGGATTGATTAACTGCGTTGTTTACGAGCATAGCTGGCACGAGAGACATAGCCTGTTAAGTAGGTCACAAGCTCGATGGTGCGGACGGGCTACGATCTGGCCTGAGGACATGTTATGTTTCACGGAGTCAGCAGAACAGCACAGTATGACAACGCACAAGGAGACAAAAGGAAGCCAGGAGATTGGGGAGGCCGCTGAGTGCGGGGTCTTCTGGGATAGCTACTTCCATGTGCAAACGACTCAGACCTGTAACTTCACCAACAAGACAGACCCGCTCCCGGTGGATAGGATACGCTTCTGGTCATCAATTCCACTCTCCTTTCTCGCAGCCGTCTTTAATCTGCTGACATTCCTTCTGCTCATCCGAGTGTCTCGAATTCTGACTCATCCGCGACGTCCGGAGAGTGGTCATCAGATAGTGTCCGAACAGATGTTGTCATCTCGATGGGAACGACGCCAAAAGACAATGCACATCGGCCTTATCATATTCTGCTTCTTTGAAACTATCTGTCATGTGGCTCTCTCTGCGGGACAAGGTCTCCACCTCTATATTTGGGACAAACTTGCATGCAAGCCATTTGCACCGCCAGTAAATGGGACGTTTACGCCAGAACTGACTATCCTCCCAGTCCTGGGCAGCCTTCTCAACTGGTTGCGTGACGGTGGCATCTGTAGTCGCAACTGGACCATCACAATCATTACCTTGACCCGGGCTGAGATTGTGGTCTGGCCCCTGGCCACTCAAACCTACCAACGTTGTCTCCGCAGGCGTCGGATATTTTTCGTCCTGCTTTCCCTGTTTATTCTGCTGTCTTTTCTGTTGAGCGGGTTTCGAAGAGTGGATCGCGAGTTTGTAGTCTGTTACAGCGAACTGCTTCGATCCTACTGCATCTGGGACCGTCCATTTTTGGAGAATTTAAACTTCCAGACTGTCTACTTCACCTTCCAGACCATCGTGCCCTGGTTGCTCATCCTCGTCGCCACGATCGTGATTGTTATCCATCTTAAAGCTGTAAGAGATCCACTACCAAGACGCAACAGCCGTCAGGCCTGGTCGTCTGCTCGAAGGGCAGCCTTTCAGCGGGCATCCTACTCTGTCTTCTTTTTGGCCCTCCTGTTCACCATCTGCGAATTTCCCACATTTGCAATGTTTGTTTACTACATCCTAGGTGACCCGGATGCGGATATGTTCTTTTGGGATACAGCCGCACTCATTTTCCTGCAAGTTGACTCCCTATCAAATTTTTTTCTGCTAGTTCTTACAATGCCGACACTAAGACGTCTTTTGCACTGCAAGACCTGCTTGTTTCGATGCAAGTGAATGGCGCCGAGTAGCCGACTGCCACCTGGGCGACGGAATAAGCCCGCAGTTCTTCGTTTATTTTCGCTTTTTTTCGATGAAGAAAAGCATTCGGATGTTGTGTCATAGATATTAATCAGTGTACGCCTCCGATATACTGCATGTAGAACTGTTAATTGCATGAGTTTGAAGCTACCAGAACCAAAGCTGTACTTGTTAATTCTTGTTACGGCTACTTAACCATACAAACTTTTGTTCGGAAAAAGCGTAATTATGAGATACGTAATAGCAACAAGGCACTAACACCTAAACAAAGGACACTTTCTCAAGAAACTGCCTGATAAACCTTTTACCAAAGAACGAAACTCCAAGAGGACAACAAAGCCAACATTTCGATTAAGGAAAACCTTGTTGCGTCTTCTTAAATTGTCTACAAATTCTAATTAAGCAAAAAATACTAATGCGTGGTCAGTTGTTGTCTACAAATGAGTGTTCTTCGCGGTTTATGAGGTCAGTCCGTAGGTGCTGAATCCGAGCGCACAACAGCCTTAATCAGTCGTATGTTTAAGGCATTTAAACCTTTCTTTTGAGATGGTAGGAAAGCTCGAGACAAAAATACTGTTAAGGTACTTTCAAACGCACTTCATGCGTGTTACTTATATTATAAGCAAGTGATTTCATAAAATTACAACCTTTCCAATCCATAGGCTCCCACAGAACGTGCTGCGTCCATCAAACGTATATTTAAAAGGTCACGTCAACTAGACATGGCAGTAAAGTCCATTGGAGTAACTGTCGTCACTCTGTCCTGATAAAAAAGAGGCCTTCCAATTTTCTTGAATTTGTGGTCTAGATTCGGCGCAGACGTCATTCCAGTCCAGGGAAGCCCCACCTCTCCCATCGATCTTAACAGTAAGGCCTACCCTCCCCGCACCCGAACCACATTCCACCGGTCATTTCATCTGACAGGTAACTGCTGCTAACAGTTGAAATATTTATTGAGGAAAGTTCGGACTTTCAACCAGACTCCTGCCTCTTCAGCGTGATGCCAACCGGTGTGGAAGTTAGAGCCACGTTCATTTAATGCGAAATTTAGACTTTTGCAGTGAACAGCATTTCCAACCTTTCAACCTGCAGGTGTAAATTAACTTTCTGTAACTCAAAATTATTTGCGGTGTCGACAATAAAATTTTTGGGACTTGCGCAATTTAAAAGGGAGAGAATTTTCTTCATTTGCACATGAATTACTCCAAAACTCTTTGACCGCCTACTATCTACGAGTAACTGCCTGTTCTCAGTGACAATCTCGCATTGGTTCTAGAATTCATGGTGGATAATGCCGGTCTCGAACTAAGAAACGGTCAATATGACATGTTTAGGCACAACAGTGAGTTGGAAACTGCAATATATGGATTCACGGAAGTGTTTTTACCATGTTTTATCGAGTCCCTGCTTCGCTTCATATCACAATGCGAAAAATACAGGAACTGGCTCCGTCATGTGAAGCAGGTTCAAAGGCAATCTCGTATAAATTAATTGTCGATTCGTTCCTCTTTAGTGCAAAACATTGGTTGTTGTACTGCTTAGGTCTCCGGTTAACTCTTTCGACGCCACTTGAGCAATTTGACGTTCACACGCGTATGCGGTTGATTTTAGCGGTAAAATGACGCCCACAGCATTTATCCTCTCGGAGCTTTAGATTCGTAAATCAAAGTCAAACTGTCCCCTAACTGATGCCTTATTTTACAAAGGCTCTGATAATATTCAGCGTCCTTTCCACTGCTTTCGCTTGCAGCTCGAAATCGACCACTAAAACTGCTTACATTTAGGCCGTTTTGAAATCTGAACTGGAAAGTAATAAATTTCATAATTAACGTCAATAAGGTAAACGGCTGTAGCAAATGCTGCTTTTTACCCAAATACATGTCTTTCGCCTAATCAGGTAGATAATTACGCGGGAAAATTAAATGAGACAAACAATAATTACATCACAGTATTTTACGCTAATCTAAATTGTCTTAGACTGTTACAAGATCAAAGACTGAAAGCGAATACCCTTCAAAGTAAGATATGGTTCGTCTGCACATGCAGCTATCGTTTGAAGTTTATTACTACGGGCAGACGGAGAAGAGCTAAATGTTTATATGACTGCGCTGGAAGATTACTTGGAACTTCCTGTCAATTTCGATTAGTAAACACCGGAGATCTATTGCCTTCTTGATGGTCAGTTGATGCAGTGAAAGACGCTGCTCTGCATGTCGATCACAACTGGTCGTCTGATCATCAAATTCAATCGCCATAATCGTCACTCGGTCCATTCAGTTTCTGGCAAAATGTGTATTTTTTCTTCTATTTGAATGTCTGATATTTGCTTGCCAAGCTGGGATGAAATTTGCGTTGTATTGTGATCTCTGAGGGTTTACTGGTGGAAAATATAAAAAATTGAAAAATTGACATTGTTCAAGCGATTTGTGACGGTTACTACTGTCGTAAATGTGTCATCTTAACTTCTGTCCGGCTCCTTCTCTACACTGTATTGAATGACATCCAACAGCCAGGGCAAAATGACATTCTCTGTCAGTTACCTGTCTTTTGATAGGACGAAAACATTCAACAATTGAGGTCAACAAGAATAATTAGCATTTCTCAATCTCTTATAAACCGTTTGGAATCATTCGCTTGGCTTGTCCTAAGACGCTGATTTTGTACTGCGCGAATTGACGGTCAATACTTAATTTTTCATTTTGGTTTCCCGAATTTCCTCTCGGTCAATAGTTGTGGAAATAAAATGAAAAAACTTTTAAAGCACCGCACCAAATCTTTTCAGATTGCTCTACCTGCATACGTTGATGTTAACCAGTAAAAACAGGTCGGCGGATATAAAATGTAGACAGCTAAAGAAACTGTCAAGAAGGAGAAACCAAAATTCATTTTCGAGAATCTTCCTACCTAGGAGACGAAACATGACGGGAATTTTGTTTGCAAAGTAATTCATCTTTCAATTCCAATTTTTTGGACTTTGCGGTGGTTAAAGGATTCGTTGTTGTCAGAACCACATTTAACAAAAACAACTTCTCTCATGTTTTCGTAATTTTGTAAAATGACTGGCAATGATAAAATTAAAAGAATCTCTTATGCGAGTTCGCAAAAAAAGAATTGCTAAACTACCCGGACCGGTTCAGCGGCTCTAGAGTTAAGTTTGCGCAACACTTCATATTTGAGCTTAGGAGCCATCGATTTTATTCCAGGAGTGATGAAAATTTACTTTTTTGTTGGACGTCCACAAATGTCAAACACCGTAATGGGCGCGCAACGAACCCCCGTTTTGACCTTAACGCCAGAAATTTCGTCGACCTTTGCGTTATCTGGTCGCTTTGTAAATTTATGCAAACTTAGTTGTCCGTTCCCGATAAAAAACACTGAATATTTACAACAGACGGAATTTGCTAGTTTCATTTAGAGGTCACCTACGTTTTTTCAACCTGCATAAATGATTATCATTAAGTTGTGTATAATTTTACATAATTATTTTCTTTCGAAGTTATGCAGCCCTATTTTGCTTATTGGCTTTCATTTGAAACGAGCTATATGTGCCATTATTAACCATTTAACAGGATCCCATAATATCACATTGAATGGCTTTATTAAGTACTAGACAGGTTGCCATAATGGTTAATATTCTATATTGGGAAAATATGTGTCCAGCAAGTTGTATTAAGTGCTTTTTTAACCTTACTGAATTTATCTTGTTTTAGTTGTTCGATCGTTTTTGTAAAATGAACTGTGTATTTGTACAAAATATGTTTTCGTTTTAACATGAAACTTTGCGTTGTTGAACATCGCAATGCTACCTTCAATATTTCTGTTTGCCTCCACTTGGCCTATAGTGGTTTATTTTAATTGTTCATTGTTGCTACATTTAGCTTTGTTTTTAACGTTCTGTGCATTTGCCGTCAATTCGGCATAATATACAATCTATACTATTCATTAAGATGGGCAAAATGTATGATATAGTTCACGTGTACTTAAAATGTCACGACTAACTGAGAATGTTTCATCTCACAGAATTTATTCTAACTCTAGTCAATCAATTATGGAGGCGTTATGTAGATTTATATTGTAACTGGGAAGGCAATAAGCATGTCAACTGAGTCGAGAAATCATAACCTAGTTAGAGTGCCAAAACTGGACGAGACAGATAGTTAAGGGGTCTAGGTTGATTACTTGGCAGTAAGCTTTGCGCTGGTTTATTCATTATTTGACTGTGTACAAAAATAGAGATCTAGATTGGAAATCAGTAACAACACGCATTAATCTGAAGGAATAATTGTGAAATCTTACCCAGTTTTCAATTCAAATCACCATAGTGGAGACATTCAGAGCAGCACTTTCGCCCTGTCAACCCACCAGCATAACATTCAGTTGCCCTATTATAAAACATGTACGGACTATTGAACCAATGTGTGATATGAGAAAGATCAAATTTACCTAGATCTTTGTGGACAAATCAAGTAGGTTGAAATACTGTGCAACGGAAAGTACAAAGTGTTTGTGGATCAAGTTTGATAACCGATCGACAATAAACGTTAAAATGTGCTTTAATTTCCTCAATGGCATCACCCCAAATGCCGACACAACAGAAAATCAGAAATATCAAGCATGACTGTTGGAAAGTGACTTTTGAGATCAGAGTGTGTAATAATTTGTTTTGGCCATAAACGCAGTCTTATAACAGAAAACCAATCTGTCTGTTATTGCTAAGAGCCAAAAACAGACCCAGTGTGAAAATCATTGAACACCGTTCTTACTATCGCTGACTATCCATTTGGTGAATTATAAGCAAAAGTCCACATTAAAGGCCCGAATACATTGGATGTTGCCCAGTTTATACCTAATATGACTATGATTAATTTACACCTCATGTGTTTTAGTTTATAACACAAACTACGAGACAGGCAGTAAAACAGAAATATGCAATTAATAATACCCTAAATAAACTTCATTCATGTTTTTTCGGCCTA